TCCTCGGGCTTCTTCACCAAAACGTAGACCAGAGTCTTCTCCTCGTTCTGAGGCTGCACAGGGATGATAGGAGCGGTGGGAGTGGGTGGGGTTGGCGCCTTAATGAACACAATTTTGTAGTGTTTTTGAGGAGGAGGCACCCAGATGGGCTTGCGGGGAGCGGGGATGTCGTTGTCTGGAGGTGGGACATGCACGTACACGTGCTTGTGCACTATGGGCTGTTGGGGAGGTCCGTACTGAGGCGCGGGAGCACCGTATGAGGAGGAGGGAGCACCGTACGATGATGAGGGAGCACTGTATGAGGGGGCAGGTGCGCCGTATGACGACGGGGGCTCTGGCCTCGCGACCGCGCAAGCGACCACCACCGCCACCACCAGAGATCGAAGTACCTGCACACATAAATCACGACTTGTAACAATCTACTTATATTATTTAAAAAAAAAACACACTAAAGCACTATTTTTCTTCGGAAGATATCAATAAATATCTTATTAGGTATGCACTAATATCACCAGGTCACTTATTAATCAATGCGATCCTCACAAAAAGCTCGTCACAATACCTACCGTTTTTTCACACATCCTGGGTATGCGATTAGACGCAGCTAGATAGTGTAATGTCCAGTACCCAGGCGCCACCTGTGTTTATAAGACTTGTGCGCTCCATATCCGGGGGAGGGGGCACTTTCGATGGTTCACATACCTTTCGCAATAAGATGGTGCTCACGCGCCGCCCTCCTACTGACGCCGCATCAAGTGACGTGCTCGAGGGCATGTTCTGCCGTCAATCCTTTTACATGTCTATCTTTACGTTTAGGCTTCTAATCTTTTTTTATTTAATTATTTACAAGTAAACGTTCATTTTATTGGCAGGGTCACTATATCTTTTAAGAAAATAGAATATTTTATATTGAGTTAAACCTTACTTACTTGATTATAGAGGTAGTAAATATACGTATATACTTTTATAATATAGATATACCTAAAACTGCCACGCATAAAAGCCTATACAAGCATTGTATATCGGTATACGTAAAATTGAATTGTTGTTATGGGCACTCTATATCAATATCAATAAATGTAACTACTCCATAAAACTCTTCCATTACAAACCAGCTGATAGACAATACATGGTTGAAACAGCTGGAACCACTGGTATATAACACAAGTCACCCCATTTTGGTTGTTGAGTCTAAGGGAGCACAGTCGGTGGCGCTGTGGGCTGGGTCGCTCCGTTCCCTACGAAATGGTTGATCGGACCGATTGCTGGCCCTCACATCATGCTCGTAAACGGGCGCCTTCTGCTGGAGCAGGTCGGCTCGCTCATCGCGCGTGTGGGCCGATCCAGTAAGGTTAATGTAAATGTAGTAAAACATGTATTGTGTATATATAGGTAGATATTAGACTTTGAGAAAAAAATGTGGTTAATGTAGCACGTAAGATTTCTGTAACAATTAATTTAGACTGTAAATTAAAAGAAAATGGAATGACAAGGGCACGGACAAGAGTCCGTGGAGAATAAGAAATGTAGTATTAAAAAAAAAAGGGAGCACGTAAGGACGAATTTCCAAAATTTTCACGGGAACAGGATGCCATGAAATCTTGATATGCTTTTAGTTAATGCCACTAGTACAGGTTAGTTTAACTTCTTGGATATGTTGGTCGCTTGTGGATAGGTACATAGACCATTCCTATAGAAGTGTAAAGAGTAAACCTTAATTTCAATATCCTAAACCTATTTTATTTATATTGTTCTAGCTTTTAGGAAATGAAAATAAGCGTAAAGATAGTTTCTGTGACGTCACAACTTTATGTAGAGTGCAAAACGATAGTTTTACATAAAAGATTTAAAAAAAAATTGTTCTTTTTATTAACGTGGAACCCAGAGGCTTTCCAAATTCGAAATTCTCCACAGTAAAACATGGAGCCAGGAATCGTCCCCTGAAAGGGCGCCTCCTATCACAAGCCATTCTGGACAAAGCTAGTATTCATATAACTTAATATGTGCATTGTGCACTTCAGCTCACCTTTTCAGGGAATAATAACTTCGAAGAAATAAGGAACTTGTTTACAAGGTTAATATGCGTGAACTTGTATGATGCATGGAGAGTGACATGCAACAGTGATTCTGAGATTTACATACCTATAGGTTAACTAAGCAATCACCAGTAATCGGAATATTTATTTATTTTACACTTTAATGCACACAAAATAAGGTACATAAGGCGGACTTAATGCCATATGGCATTTTCTCCCAGTCAACCTTTAATAATGAATAATGGGAGATTAGGAGTTATGGTGGACTAACGAAATAAAGATCACGTGAACAAAGAAAAGGCAGGCAGTTTTAGGCAGTCGTTTCACAATTTAAATATTAATAAGATGTTAAAATTCACGTAGGTACCTAATTAAAGTTCTAGTAAATTTACCGGAAAAAATTTTTAGTTGTAGGTAGATTAGCTCACCTTTTTCCGATCACTGATAATCATAATAGCAGCCCGTCCCGGCTTCGCACGGGGTAGACAATTATTTATTTTTGGAAATTTGGATTGTTGTAGTGACATAACTACAATAGTTGGACATATGCTACCGCGGAGTTTTTTGTAGATTATTATGATGTTCTTCAATATTATTGTACATTATTTTGTTCTATCGCTAATAGTTTCGGCAGCGCATTCGACGAAAGACATTTTTAGACTCATTTTTCTACACCTTCGGTTACATTGTTCAAGTTTTACCAAGGATAACTATTTTTTTTTAAATGAAATGTAGCTAGCTACATTCTTCCTATGTCAAATTGGAAGAATGTAGCATTCTATTGGTGAAAGAATTTTTTAAATCGGCCCAGTACTTTTTGAGCCTATTCATTACAAACATACAAAAATAGGTACAAATCTTTCCTATTTATAATATTAGTATAGATATAGATAAGTACTTAAATGCTAACAAGTTAAGGTATTTTTTTTTATGGAATATATAAGCCGGTAAACGAGCAGACGGATCACCTGATGGTAAGCAATCGGCGTCGCCCATGGACACCTAGAACACCAGAGGCGTTACAAGTGCGTCACCGGCTTTTTGGGGATTAGGAGTTTGAGGATCGTTGGGGATTCAGGGATTGGGGAGATTGGGGAAGGGGAAGGTAATTGGGCCTCCGGTAACCTCACTCACACGACGAAACACAACGCAAGCGTTGCTTCACGTCGGTTTTCTGTGAGGCCGTGGTATCACTCCGGTCGAGCCGGCCCATTCGTGCCGAAACATGGCTCTCCCACACTTAATAATGACAATATTTAGGAATATTGATATAAAGTAATTCTTAAATTCTATGTTTGTTATGTATATAAGAGTATGTACTATATAAATAAGAGATTAGGAGCTTACTATAAGTATTATTTCGGAACTAATAATAACTTCTCTGTGTCTTCATAGGACATGTCTTGAAGAGCTTCCTTTAGAATTTTCTTACAGTTACGGAGGCTATGGGGGTAAATCCATGACGTTGCATTTAGTCTATTGTATAGAAGTGGTCCAAGAAATACAAAAACGTTGGTAATAAAAGCGTGCTTTGTACTTTTGGGTGGGCAAACAATATCTCTTCGCCTTTTTTGGTTATATGGAAAAGTTGCATGCTGTTTGAGTACAGTACTTATAATAAAAAATTGCCGGACTGTTAGTACTTTACAAGAACTATATAGAAGGTTAGTGAGGTGCCTACAGAAAAAATCGGCCAGTAGACACCTTGAGAATCGCTCTTTGGGTTCTTTCAGTGGAAAGCAGTAAAGTTTTATCCGTACCACCCCAAGAGGCAATACAGTAAGTCAATATTGACTGGCACAAGGCGAAATATACCTGTCTGCTGTCTGATTATTTTTGGGTCAGCAATGTAACGTAGCTTTTTGAAAAAAAATAAGCTTACGCAATCTATTGTTTAAAACGCCCAGATGCCGTTTAAAAGAAAGATTTTCATCTAATATTACACCTAAATATTTTACATTACTACTCTGATTGATAAAAGGGCACATACATTGGTCAGGAATGTTACAGTGATGGGCATACAAGGCTGGAGTAGTAGTAACTGGGGTTTCCTTCCGAATAGAGAATTTGATGAAGTGTGTCTTATCTGTATTTAATGTTAGTGAGTTACACGGAACTAAATCATTTCAAAAGTTTTTGCGTGATAGGGCAAAAACATCAAACATGCTAACTTTCACATCCTGTTTTTATTATTTACACACCAATACAAGTATTGCCGTCAAAAATCCTTCAAACTGAGACGCTGACGCTAGGTCCAATGCTGAGACAAACTTGACAAGTTACAATAATCCAATCGAATGAATTAACTGTGTACGATGTGCATTGGTACATAATGGTAGTACTGCCTTAGTACTGCATTGAATGGTTTTGCAGCAACTAGTAGTTGCATAGGTGGTAGGTATCATATCACATAAATATTCCATGTTGGAAGCAAGTATCGCTCCGAGGCAACTCTAATGGGCTAGCGAAATGTCCCTCGTAAGTACCCACCGTGAAACCAAGTAATCGCAATTTGCTTTGAGTTCAAATGTTAATTTACTGCAGGTTACACTCTCAGCGCATCTTTGGTAACTTTTATCGCCGTATGTAGTAAGTACTCGGTACAAACTGAAGTTAAATATGTACTTATATATTAGCTATATAGGAATGTGAATGTTTATAGCTCCTCATTGCTTTATTGAGAATATACATTACTTAAGTAAGGATTAGCTTTTTCCAATATCTCAGTACCCGCTGTTCACTATCGAGTCTAAAATCAAAACAGCAGCGTAGCAGGTCCGTAGGTAATGGAATAATAGTACGTTATTGATTAAAACACAGCACATTGTGCAGTTTCGTGTTGGTTTACTTGTGATTGATTCCATCTAACCAATCGTTTCCGATACGACACGCTTGCTTGTATCGCAGTATTGCGCTCATTGTGAAGTAGGTGCTCGCTTCTAATGTATATAATGTTTCATGACAAGTCTAAAGAGACGCGTTGCGGATGTAATTTGTAGTGCGAACAAAGCACTTAGTGACAATCTGTCAGTGCATCATTGTTTACGGTCTGTGTTGAAGCAGAGTGGGAATAATTGACCCCTGACCCGGCGCAGGCCCCAGAATGTGGAAACACCAGGAAGGTAGGCGAGCATCGATGCCTATGAAACCGGTTGATTTATACCTACATGCGATTACTGTTTGTGTTATCTGGGACGCGGTATTCTATAACATCCTTAGTAATCAACACCATGGTTCATTACTATTTTGTGGAGTTAAATAGATGTAAGAACTAAGATCGCTAGAAGATAGCTTATTATTATGATGACCTATTCTTTCTCGATATTTCTATTAGTACAAAGGTTTTAAACTCTCAGTTATTACGAAGGTATTATATTTCTAATTTTATCTCATTAAACATAATTGAATTTGCTTTAGATATAAAATAACGGCAAAAATAGCATATGAAAATCACATTTTTGATATTAGATCATTTTGAAATGTCTAATCAAATATCAGATATTAAACTATCAATCAGTATTTCACCGTTCATGCGGTTTTCTTATCAGTGTTTTATAAACTATTAAACGCCTAATACCTATAAGTTGCAGATTGTTTCAGCACATAACGAGGTACAGCTGCCAAGTCACGCGATATCGAGAAAAGATTACACTCGTGTACTGGGAGACGAAGGCGCCCTTGATTGACAATTAACTATAAGAGGTCGTAGGAAGATTCTCTGAGGCAAATGTTGACACATCCGAAAAAGCTCCAGTTGTGACGCCTCGTGCATTGTTCCGTGCTCGTCGTCTTAGTTACAATTGATTGGCGTACATGTACATATCCGGCACGCTCCAGAATCTCTCAGCCTCCCAGTATCTGCGAGTGGAGGCTAACGCTGCATGCTACTCTTCAAGTTACAAGATATGTATAATAAAAATACAGTGACAAAATAACAATTTGACGAAATAATATAGACCAAGTATTAAAGAAATGGCGTTACCATTGTGCACCAGATTTAGACTAAGGACTGACTGTCTTCGAGAGGTGAGTGTATAAATCAACTAGTAGAGGTGCGAACAGAAGCTCAACATAATTACCTGTCTGATCATCACTTCGTAATTGCAATTCAAAATTTAGTTTATTTTTTTACTATTCTAGTTTTCGTTATTGAATTTTCTTCCCGTTAAATACCGGATCTAGCTACTAAATTGAGTTATTTATTCAATAATTTCTAGCATTCAATAACGAATTCCACGTTTCTGTTTTCGTAAGTTGTACCAAGGATAAGATCAATGTTGCGATTGCGGTTTCAAATGAAATGTTTTTAAACACCTTGTACTCGTATAATTAGCCGCCACACGAAATAACCTTTGACATAACTCGTCTCACTTCATTTTAAAAATGCAAATATACATTCCAAACTATCGCTGTTATGTAATGCCAAAAAAATTGTAAGTGCACGAAAATTGTTGTTTGAACAACCAATTAAAAGTTAATATAAAATAATCGCGGAGTTACAAGTAATATAATTAGAACGTTTCTCTGCGAAGCAGTTTCAATAGAATAGACAATTGCAGAAACGTTTTTGATATCATTATTTCGACCGCTACGGTTTACAAGTAAAATGTAGAAAGTTATGTACACTACCGACAAAAAGTTTGGAAGCACTTTAGATATTAATTATCTTTGAAGGAAAATATAGGAATTAATACAATTTTACGAGTACTGATTAGGTATTTAATTAAATCAACAATTAAACTACAAAATAAAACCAATTTTTTCTTTATTAAACACAAACATAATTTATAATTGATTTTCATTAATATGACTACCCTTTGCCTTAATAACAGCTTGGCAAATTTTAGGCATTCTCTCCAGTAATTTAATCAAATATTCGGTGCCAATTTCTTTCCAAGCTTCCTGTATATATTCCCACAACTCTCTAGTGCTCTGTGGCAAACGTTCTTTGGCTTTTCGATCCACCTGATCCTATAATTTTTCTATAGGCGATAGGTCAGGTGATTGCGGGGGCCACACCATCAGTTCAAGCGTACCATTCGACTCCTGTTCTTCTAGATAGGCTTTGCATATTCTAGCTGAGTGCTTGGGATCATTATCCTGTTGAAACACGAATGGTTCAACCACAATACGAATCCCCGAAGGCAAAGCATGATCTCTTAATATTTGCAAATACTGCTCCTTCCTCATAATTCCATCAATTTTAACAAGGTCTCCGACAACTGTTCCAGTAAAACACCCCCAGACTAAAACGTTACCACCACCCTGTTTTACTGATGACACCAAGCAGCTTTCAGATACTCGTTCATGGGATCTGCGGCGCACAAACACTCGTCGATTAGAGCCAAAGATTTGAAATTTTGATTCGTCCGTCCATAATACACTTTTCCACTGTTCCACTGTCCAATGTTCATGCTGTTTTGCCCATTCCAGACGTTTTTTCTTATGTATTGCCCGTAACAATGGTTTTTCTACTGCTACACGACCACGCAGACCAGCAGATGAAAGACGATTCTTCACTGTAGAAACTGACTCTTTATTGGATCGCGTTTTATTCAACTCCCGAGTGATATCCGGTGCTGTCAGTCGACGATTACGTTTTGAAGTCGTTATTATGAACCTATCCTCTGCTGCAGAAGTAGTCTTTGGTCTTCCGCTCCGTTTTCGATCCGATAAACTGCCAGTTTCCCGGTGTCTAGCAAGTGTGTAATGTACTCCCTTAGGCGATATACCGAGTTTTTTTGCAATATCTTTTTCAGAATACCCTTCACTTTTTAAAACAATAATAACCGATCGTGTTTCAATAGGTAACTGTCTTCCTTTGCCCATTTTTCTCCACAAAATAAGGAAATTACTATTTTTTTTAAGTTGTAGTTGTACAGAAAAAATAAATACAATTTGACGGTGTGCAAATAACGAATCACTATTTTTAACAGAGATGACAGTTTATATTAACTACCTACAATAAGCTATGACGCGTGAAAAATGGTTATAGGGTACTCAGCAAATTAAATAAAGTAATAGGGAAAAATGTACATCAATAGGTTATTGTAATTTTTATCAATATCTCTAAGATAAGACCACAACGATTAATCCTAATACAGTAAAATAATTTTTAATGATAGTATATTAAACTACGAAAAAGATGAAAATCGCCTATAGCCATTTACTATGTGTTATAACAAAAATTAGAGGTGCTTCCAAACTTTTTGTCGGTAGTGTAAGTACGTACAAAGGGCACGAACATAATGTTCTCCTAACAATACAGCTATTATTTTTCAAAGTATTCAAAATTCGACGTAATAACCGTATTTTCGTATATAAAAACCCCAAGGCTCTATTATGCCAAATTACACAAAGGTTGCAATTCATCACGAACGGTATGGTAACATCGTCTCGGACTCTCATGGGTTACGAAATAAAATTTTGAAGTCTGATATGAGTAGTACCTACCCGTTGCAACGATTCTGAATTGCAACATATATTTTGAGTAGACGATATGCAGACAAACATAATGTATGCGAGTAAATGTCAATATTTTTTATTTGGATAACAATATGGCAATTTAATTAAAGACATTTTTAAAAGCTACGGTAAAATTATTAATAGAATTCACATTTGGTTTGCTAATATCAGATAATCATTTTGAAATTCTTACGGAACAAAATTGGCTGGATGATGAGGACCTCGCCACGGTCAGCAGTGAAAGTTTACGAACATTTGAAATAATTATAATACTCGTGACTTCACAGACACCGGCAATTGCGTTTATTTAAAAAATAACATTAATCTAGAAATATTGCAAAATCCGTATACCACGACTTTGAAGATAAAAATGGACAATCATGTTGTATTCAATGCAGAAGGCAGTAATTCCACACCGCAGTTTTTTATTAGTCCATAGTTTGGTTTCCTCGCATTCGATTAAATAAAGTTACCATTATTTGTTAACGTAAACCCTCGTCAATCTTGAATTGGATGTAACAGTTCGACGGTTCTGAGAATTGTTCGGCAATCACAGTTCACTGTAATAAGGGAAACAAAAGAAGGATTCTTACGTGAATTATTGCAAAAACATTCGGTTCACTTAACTTTGCATTGTTAGTAATCTATTCGATACTATTATGTACATAAAAGTAGTACATCATAAAAATAGTGACGAACGGCTTCGCTCATTGCTTTTAACATTTCTACATAAAGGTACTCATTTAAGAAAGTATGTAGGTATATTGTATATATGTATATGCTACGTAAACAGTCTAGAAACTCTAAATTTTACAATTATTATCGAACAGTGATAAATACGTACTATATTAATAAGATGTATATTGTTATGTATAGTGTTATGGTATTATATTGTGTGATGTGTAGTGTTATGTATTAGATCATTTATGTAATTTATGTTAGTCCAAAAAATGTAAATAGCTACACAAAACTACGACGTTCGATTAGCGCAGGCGTAGACGACGCCTACGACAGTGCTACGCACGGCTACGAAAAGTTTTAGTTCCAAAAAAATTACGTTTATCGAACGATAATGTTTATATGCAGTTTTATACAATTAATACATTCATGGACTCATATGCAAGTACTACTAAAAGGTTCTTGGAGAGAAATATGAAGAAGCAGAATGACGCGACCTAATTTATGACCCTACAATTATTATCCTAGACAAGTTGTCCAAACAAACGAATCATTCAGACGCAAAACGTATAAACAGCTATGTTTAATTGTTTGGAATGTGGTGAGACATTAATACCAGTCCCATGCCCATGAGCTAACTTCGAGCTATTCATTGAGGCGTATAGAGTCCGGAACTATCCGGTTTGAGGAAGCTAGCGCGGGTATTAAACCGGCTTATTCCGCCCTTACATTGCCTTGCGTGTCGGTGTCGCACAACATGCGTTGCTCTTGACTGCTCTTGAGCACACTCGAGTAAATCGACTTGACGATACTTCTACTACTTCTTAAGCATGCGTGCCCACTACAATCAAGTCTATGGGTTCAATCAAAACAGTTCACAATATTTAAGTTTTCAATTTCTGTAACGGTCATGCAATGCAATGATTCGTATCTATTATTTACCTTAACTATCCCATTTATATTCGGAAAGTTTTACTTCTAGTTTAGCTCTACTAAAAGTTAGGTTTTCTAGTATGTATTAGAAAAACACGGTGAGACTTCAGCTTCCATGATAAATAAATAACAAAACTTCGTCAGTTTGTTTGTTCGTTGATACACAATTTATTGGCAGTTAGATTATTAGCCTTCATTAGCAGACTACGGCAATTTTAAACAATTTAAAAGGCAATTGAAATTGTGTCTGTTCTTAATTAAAAAAACACTGTAAGATCGGACTTTATTTCTTATTGTCTTTGTACCTATTTACGATATCGACCCACTCGCCGATTAAGCAATTATGTATAGCAAGAGGTGAGTTATTTTAGAAATGATTGATACGAGTTCGAGGCTACGTAATTAAATAGTGGAGATGAGTTTAGACACTCGATTCGAGAGATGGTCAAGAAAAAGAATGGTTACATATCTACCTACCTACATTACATGCGAAACGAAACAGCAATAGCGCAGTAAAGATCAACGTAACTAAAACGTCTAATTTAATCTCAAACGCGCTAACGCCTTGTTGTTTCACAACTGGAGAACATATTGAATCATAGTAATTAAATTCTTAACCTCAATGTTTCGTAAACATAACATTAAGAGCTTCTATACAGAAAAGAGCGTTCAAGCTGTATACCAGGTAGCGCTAACTTAGTGCGAGTTTCACGTTGACCGTTATCATAATATGTATAAGTATTAAGTACACTTATATGCTATTCAATCAGCCAATTCCACCAAAATTGTCATTCCACCATAATTATGGTAACATGCTGTTCAAAACCTGCAAGATATATTCCTGTTTAAAATTATATACGTAAACCAAATTAATTTGTGACAATTTCAGATAAATAATTGTATGTAATTCAATTATTTACCTTGCCATTTTAATTACACCGTGAAATTATTGAATTCCATAATCTAAGCAAACCCTTTACAAAGAGCTAAAATTAGTCTTCCTTAAAGAATTGCACTTCAATATAATAAATAAATACATAACGGATACGCTGTTATTTGTTGAAAGTCTACTTTTAAATTGTGCATTGTCATGTCAACAGTTGTTAACACAACTCTCTACACCACGTTACTGTTAAATTGTTATTGTAGCTGGGCCTGTTACGCTGACATGCAATTCACACTAAGATAAAACATTGAACTTGACAGAGCCATTCGATAACCGTACGTTAGACGTTATTTATCACACACCATAGAAATCACAATTGTATACTACTTACTGTTTACTGGTACTTGTTGTTTTCAGATAACAATATTGACAATATTATGGTGGAGTTTAAGTTCAATATCAGTCGCATCAGCTTCACTTAACTTACCGACCAAGAACGTAGATTTAGCGCCGTCCCAGAATGAGAGCGTGGCTGAAGTACTCTTTCATTGGGAAGACTATAGCGTGCTGGCCGCTATGCTGATAATTTCCTGTCTGATTGGTGTATTTTACGGATATTTTGGTGAAAAGCAAACAACAGGAGATGATTTCTTGCTTGGTGGTTCGTCGATGGGCACATTTCCTATGGCATTAAGTCTTGCAGCAAGGTTAGCATACGCGTGCCAACTGATATTGTTTCTTTAGTAGTCCTTTGGTAATTTGACTTGACTATTTCCAGTTTCATCACAGCCATCGAGTTGTTAGGCAACCCAGCAGAAATGTACATGGCAGGTGCCCAGTTCTGGATGATTTGTGTCGCCTTTGTACTGGTCGTGCCTATTGCGAGTCATCTCTACCTGCCGGTGTTCATGAGGCTGCGGTTGACGTCATGTTATGAATATTTGGTTTGTCATTTATTTGCTTATTCGAAGGAGAAATCTGTTTATTTTTATTTCACGTACGTTTGGTATAAACGTACGTGAATAAAATTTTGAAAACATTTGATGGATACATAGATTTCAAAGTACCTACTTGCTTACAATAAAGTCTTCTGACATAGAATTGATTTTATGATTATTGTTATAATGACTTGTTAAAGAACTAAATTAATAACAATGAATTTGTTTACAGGAAGTGAGATTCTGCAAGTCCATCCGTGTGTATGCAAGTGCGTTATATCTAATGCAGATGATTCTGTACACGGCCGTCGCGGTATACGCGCCGGCTCTAGCCCTCTCCGATGGTAATTCTTATACCAGAATGTTTGTTCAGTATTTAAGTAGACGAATATTCTTCCTTAACATTCTCGTTAGAGCCGTTTTCACAAGCCACCCCTAAACCATCTCTCAACTGAGATTTATTAAACATGGAAGCACCAAAATAAACTTCCTAGCTTTACCTTTAGGTATCACTTAGCTATAGGTTGGTGAAATATTAAACAAAAAAATAATGCATTAACTACACTTTGGAACGAGCGCCTAGCTTCACAAACAGACAGACAGACAGTCAATTCAATTTTTGACGTTTCAAAAGTGCCTAATTGAAGAAACGGTGAAATTGGTGAAAACGGGCCAGTAAGACATTAAATTTTCAGTAGCAATAGTACCTACTTCTTAAAGTATTAACGAATATTTGTTCACACTAATTAGAAAGTTCTAAGGTAACAATAATTAATAAACGAGTCTAATAACTTACATGGTACAAAAATATCGAATTCAATATTTCAGTATCTTACAAAATTATTCCTTATATAACGTTCAATATAAAATAGATAATTAAAATAAATTAGTGTATTTAGCAATACATTCACAATACACATAATAACCATAATTATCTACTCATAGCTTTTGTTGAGAATGTCTTTTGTAATACAATAATTATGTCAATACATGTTTCGAATCACAATAATTTCCTAAATACTAATTAACACATAGACAAAATGTCTTCAAACTTACAGCACCTATAGTAAAGTAACATCTACTATTAGCATTTCTGAAAAAAAAATTGTACGTGTGCAATGTGTAGCTCGAAGGCTAGGACAAGAATCAAGTCAACCGTTATGGCCATAAACTTTAGACCTTGAAAAATCTATATGCAACTAAAAAAACTAATGTTTTAAGTTGAAGATAACAACTTCAATGTTATGAAAGTGATGCGCTCGATTTCATTTACATATAACTACATAGTCAATGTCAATAGAAATTTCGCAATGTGTGGAGTTGAAGCCAATATGGGGTCAAGTGAACCTGTGCGGTATGCGGTGTGCTCCTGTCCCATCAACACGTTAAATAATTCAATGTCACTGCATTCGTTTCTCACGCAACAAGGCTCTTGAATGCTTTATGTGCTACGGTTACATCAGACAACCCATCGCTAAATACTTTTATACCATAACATAGTATCACCATTTATATAGATAACGGTGCTACGAGCAATTTGCGTTAATTGCATTCTGTTATATAATCTTGACAGTCTCTAGAACGAATTAAAATTTTAAGGTCTTACGAGGTACACATTTCTACTCACGAAGTAATTAACCGTGTGGGTGAATTTATTTAAAATTAGCAGTTCGCGTTTTCACTTATTGGATTTTATACCAGTTCATACTAGTTTACACAACAACGATTTGCACCATGAAGAATATTATTTCATGTTTGAATTGCTCGTAAGTACCTATATACATACCCAATACGTACCAAACACAATAAGTACCAATTTTTTTTTTCGATAAATCAAATAATTTTATTATAAGAAATTGGTTTCCAAAGCAAAATACTTTCAAAGCTACTTACATAAGCAAAATGTTATTTTTTGTTTAGTAATACCGATCGCTAGTAATGTTACGATTATTTATTCGGCAACTTTGCCTACTTATTATTTCTCAAGTGGTACTACAAAGCATGCAACAGTGCCGAAAATCAACATTAGAATTAAAATTCAAATAGCGTGCAAACGGTGCGATAGTAGTATTTGATTGCATCACAATTCCAACATACTAGGGTATGCCTATATATTGGTACATTAACTTTTCTTATCCTTGAACCTGCGCCGCTTTGGTAGAAGCATGACGAAGATAACGTATCAAAAATATCCGTCCTAGTGTGGGGCAGTGCATTTAGTTTAAACGAAAATAATTCAACTGACAAAGTTTCAGAACTTTACTTTATAGCTTTTTCAAACACCCTCTACGGGTAGGGTACCTAAGAAGGAATACGTTTCTTGGTAGGTTTATATCGTAAAAACACTATTGTGAACAACACACAGTAGGTATGTATTAATAAATGGGTCAAATCGAAAGTTAATTAATTTATCAAAATTCGCTTAGATTTTTAAAACCGATTCTTTATCCTAGGGAGTAAAATATATCCTCGTTTAATAAAGTCATTTTAACTCGTCGAGTACCGGTTTTGTAGACACAATTATAGAACAATAGGTTGCGGTCACCGGTGACCGCTTGATGTTTGACAGTTTAATCATTTGGTTCTTATTTGGATAGAAGAATTTTTGCTAAGAGTTTGAAAATTAGATCTACTAACTAGCAGTCTAAATTAATGCAACTGCGTAGCTAGTTGATGACTTTCAAACTATTAAATAATATTTATATTTAGGTATTTCACAAAGTAAGACAAGGCTGTGTTATCATGTTACTTATGGATAATATTTTAATGTAATCCATATTGCGTATATTATAGACGGCGCCGAGGTGTAGTCGCAGTGAAAGTAAAGTCTAGTATAAAACAGCCACATTCAAAGCAAATACCGCAATGAACTTCGACATGTGAGCTAGGATCTTAGAGGCAGATTGCATGTCGTACAACACATCCATACTATGTATTTACGACTGAGTATATTACTTTCTGACTAGACAACGGTTCTAAAATATAGAGGTTATTGAAACATTTATAGAGTAGTTATTGTAGGTAGGTACCTATTACATTAGATGCTGGGATGATCTACAATATCCATGCACTATTTCTATAGAAATTTTACATAACAACGTGTCCGTACAGGGATAGAATACCCCTGCACATATAAAAATAACCAGGTACCAAAGCTACCGCAGGCGAATTGAAATAATTTGGGGTTCCATAAAACATGGCAGTCTGTCAATATAATGTCTATGTACTTAAAATAACACTCACTAGAGATACCATGAACAAATTGTTGATGTCATATACCTATATTTATATCTCATAGTATGTAAATACCTTGTATAGCTGCAAGTGAAGAGAAATTTTTCTTGACAAAAGAAACAAGATTTAACAATGGTAATTCAATTCAATTACTACAAGTTTTAGGAAAGGGTTTCTTATAACTACTTATTGTAGTTAAATATAAATAATCATAGAGTGAAAGTTCTTCCATAATGGCCCTTTTCTTATAACCACTTAATAACCTTTTAAAGCATTCAACTACAAACTTACGTGAACATTTTATTTTAAAGTCGATATAAATCATTCATAAACTGAAATAATACCTCCGACCATTATGAGTGATAAATAATCGATTCAGATTTATAGTCGGCCTTCTATTTGCGAAGTTGTGAAATAAAGTAATCAGATATTCAGCATAGACATACGTTGGTTAATTTATCGATATTTTATTGCCATCACTTATTGGTAAGCTCACGTCTGCGTATGTGTTAGGACCTAGTTATGTCGAGCCGCAGTGCACGTCACTTGCCATCAGTTGCAGCAAAGGTGCATTGATGACATCTGTGCACTTTAATCTGCCCCTACCGACCGTTATGATATTGCACATTCAAGTTATATAACTTCTCCATTACGTCGTCGAAGGCATCGGTAATGACTTCTAATGATCCAATAGTAGCCATCGTTTTAGTTTTGGCGATTGGTGTCAAACGTTTTGTGTCATCATTGGTACATTGAAGGAAAGGCTGAAGGAACTTCAATAAAATAAATTCTACCGTTGCACATGCAACGTGTTGCGGGTTCGATTCCCGCGTGGAACGAATCTTTGTGTGACGAAATTACGTTTCCGGATCTGGGTGTGATGTGTACTTATATTTTTGTACACGCACTCTCACGACACAGGACTCTTAGAAATTTTAATATTTGAAATACTTAGGTATATTTATATTAAACTGTCAAACACCAAGCGGTCACCGGTAACCGCAACCTATTGTTTTTTAATTGTGTCTACAAAACCGGTACTCGACGAGTTAAAAGTAAATAATTCTTCAGTTTAATAATTATCAAGGTTCCAAAATACTTTTACTATCAATCAATAACTTGATAGTAATGTTGAAAAATGTTCTTTGAATTGTTTTTCAGATTAATTGCTTAAATCAAGGTCTTATTTACCCACAGTTACTGGATTGAATACCTACTTGGCTGTGTCTCTGGTGTACGTGGTATGCATATTCTACGCAACACAGGTTAGCATTTTATCAAAATCTTTCTTTTAACAACTTCTTCAAATAAATTCTAATTAACTATAAGCTGTAGGTATAGGAACACACCTAACTTATAAAATACCCAGGTATTATGAGAGGGTGTAATTCCCATTAAAATAGGCTAATAAAGTTGTAGTGTGATTTACGTAACATTCATATATGTATGTTAGTACATTAAAATCTCGCCTTTGTTCCATGGAGGTAGACAGAAACCACAAAGTGCTATCTACTACGGCAATTAACGTCGCAAAGCGGCACTCTGTAGCACTTTTCGTCCCGTGAGAACAGTTAATGTGCTGTGAAGCGAGCGAGTTTGTTACGAAAAGGACTTAGGTTTAAAAATTATAGAACTATGAAAATGTTCTCACAATATGTTTTTTGTCAATATTGCAGGGTGGCATGAAAGCAGTAATCATGACGGACTCTTTTCAATCGGCTGTTCTAATCGGCTCTTTGGCAGCAGTACTAGCAATGTCTTCGACACAAGTTGGTGGATTCGACATAGTTTGGGATCACGCCTGGCGGACAGATAGGCTACATTTTTTTGAGTAATTAAATTTATCTATTTTCTTATACGTATCCTTTAAAAAACCATCCTCGGAAAAATTATAGAGACACTGTTCGTCAAAAGTAACCTAGGTGTCCCTTGCAAAGCTACTATTCATTAATGTCCCTTTACTTTCATCTAAATAACTTCATTAGCGTAAACCAAAGTATCGAGCTTGACCTTATAGGTAGTATTAAATTAACCCTATTCACACTCACGTGATCCACGTCATAAATAATTACATTATTATTGAACACATTGTTCCTAAATAGGTACCTAAGAATCAAATTTTATTACCGACACCTGCCACCCATTTTAAGAAATTGCAAAATTGGTGTATTTAGCACTCTAATCAGGTAATGAAAGAAAATCAGGATACTGTCTATTATAATTCCGTTCGTGTTTAGTCTTTAAACTAAACGTGCCTTCACGTAAATAAGTAGCTGGTACTTATTATACCATTGTAGTACATACCTACTATACCTACTAATGTATGTAAGTGGGTGACTTCAAAAGGCACCGGTATGTTGTTGTGCTTGAAGTTCGCTCACCTCGTAAACAAAACATTATGTAACCGATACAAGATTAGGCGATTCTTGTAATTCATGTTGGTATCAGTATCAGATCAAGTGTTTTTTCGGTTACTGCGTATCGTCATACACAGTCAAGTAGCTTACTGTTACTGTTACTTAAAAAGTTTTTTGTTTTTAGCATGGATCCCGACCCTACTGTCCGTCATTCATTTTGGTCGGTGGTCATAGGCGGAACCATGTACTGGGTCAGCATGTTCTGCGCAAACCAGGCTTCAGTACAGAAGTACTTGTCGGTGGAACGTGTAGCACAGGTTCGAGTGGCTCTCTGGGTGTCAGCCATCGGCCTGATCGCCGTCTACTCAGTAAATTTCATCACCGGTGCCGTCCTTGCTGTTCATTACGCTGACTGTGATCCGATTCAGGTAAACACGCACCTATTTCAATACTAAATCAATGCAGCCTTGTCACGTTACTCTATATACCGATCACCATTACTAAGTCAGTTGTCGTTTAATGTTGAAACCCGACATTTTACTAAAGTGTGGTCGACAAAATTGGTGCCTAGCTACAGTATACCTACCTACGGTAAACTTAATAAACTAAATTAATAAAATATTAGTAATGTAATGTTACCTTCAGGCTGGAGTTATCAACGCATCTGACCGTCTTCTGCCACTTTACGTCGTGAAGCAGCTAGGAGGCTCGCGTGGAATACCAGGCTTCTTTGTCGCAGGAATCTTCGCAGCTAGTCTCGGGTAAAGTAAAACGTAACTTAAAAATAATACTAAGAAAATAAACTTTACTAATTCTCGAAATTAAATCAAACAGTTCGGCAATCAAAACTTACACACCGAAACGTACGGAAGCGTCTTCATAACTGACAGAACTGGCAGTAGCCATGATTCAATTTTAAAATTAAACTGGAAAAGTCCAGTTGGAACATGGGTATTCATGGCTGGACTTTTCTAGTTTTAATTTGAAGGTATCATCGCGTACGCGGCCCGAATCCTAATTTATTTGCTGAATAGCACTCAGACTTATTTAGTACGTGCATTTATGATATATAGATATTGTCTATATGGGTCTAATTAGAGATAGGATCGATCATTAATTACACGTAGATACGTAGGTACGTTAGTACGTACCTACTTACGTGTAACTAATATTACGAACCGGACCGGTTATATAAGCAGTCAATAAATCAATACGTATTTACCTACTATTAATTTTCAGAACTGTAGCATCGGCACTGAACTCGCTAGCTGCTATATTATGTCAAGATCTTGCTACCGGACTTCTTGGAATAACGCTGCCAGAACACAGAGGAGCAGCAGTAAGTTATAAAGATATTTCACTCATTAAACGTTCCTTGGCAAACAATTTAGTCAATTTGGCAAATCATTTATCTTTCATTTTCTTCAGATAGCTCGCTGGGTGTGCCTGGCTTGCGGTCTGGTGTCTTTTGGACTGGTGTTTGCAGTGGAACGACTCGGACCAGTACTGCAACTAGCACTCTCCTTCAATGGGATGGCAGGTGGTGTCGCCCTAGGACTGTTCACACTTGGCATGTTCTTTCCGTGGGCTAATGCTAAGGTTTGTTGCCGCCAGCCTTACCTACTATTATCTTAATCATATCCTCGTATCTAGGTTAAGTGGTTGGAAACATATACCTTCACAAAATTTAATAATATGCGTTTCTTAATGCAGGGCGCCGTAGCAGGCGGCGTGTTTGGTCTAGTGGTGGTGGTAGCGGCGGGCGGAGGTGCTCAGCTGGCTCAGCTTCCGATGCCGCGACTACCTGCCTCTACAAGTGGCTGTGTAGCGCCCTACAACATGACTACGCACATGACTGTGAACCCAGAGTAAGGACAATCTGATTAGACTGCCTATAATGAGCAACACAAATAAATAAAGTTTAGATCTACATAGACTTTCTTAGCTCCGATTATTAATAGCTTTATTATTTTCAGTGAAAATCACGATGACGCAGTTTTTTGGCTGTTCCGAGTGTCATATCTCTGGTACTCTGGATTAGGATGTGCGGCTACGCTAGTGGCTGGGTTGATCGTGTCGGTTCTGACCGGTGTCACAGACCCAGCGCAAGTACCCATAGATCTGATATCACCACCGATCGTCACACTACTGAATTCGCTGCCTAAAAGATTTAAGGTAGGTTTACTTAATTTTAATTGGTAAAATGGTTACCTACCGACCCACTGAACAATAAGTATTTTAATACTAACTAAACTTTTGTTGTACAATGATATACCGTGGAACCTTATAAGTAATTCAAGCTTCTTACTTTACAACAGCGAGTTTTAAGAGTACCAACTCGGCTTGGATCGGAACGTCGGCGTAGTTCGAGTGTCCGTCCACCTGGAGTAGCTGACGACAAAGATACCCGACGTCGACGCCGCCTGTCGGAAATGGCTGGAGGAGTGTTCTACAGCGACACTCCCACACTCACAAGGGGCTACGACAACTTCGCTCTTGGTCTCGACCCAGAAAAGCCCCCACCAGATGAGCGTACCAAGTCCAACAGTATTAAATTTGATCCTTCTTCAGATAATCATCTGCCTGAAACATCGACTTGTTGAACTTTTGCAAGTAGTAGTAGGTGTATAGGCTTTAGGTACTAGAGAATGACTTATAGATATAATCAGCTACACGAAATGGACTCCATCCTCGTAATGAAGTTTTCTAACAGGTCCGTAGGTAGGTAAATAAATTATTGTTTAAATATCTACTTAATTAGTTATTTGAAAAAGCTGAAAATTAACAATATTTTCAAGTTGCAAGTAGGTTCAGGTAAGAATAAAGTAACTGAATAATTCAACATGTAAAAGTAGGTTACCTTTAGATAACTGTATTGTTAATGATTGCTAAAGTTAGCTTTAAATATGATTTTAAGCAATATTTTCTTCTTATGTTAGACACGTCCAATCTGTACTTGTAAGTAGCCAAGTAGGTAGGTAGGTAAGCTACTGAGTAACAAACTAATCAGTGAACCATATCCATCCAATCCTGTCCTTATTCAGATTATTATCTACTAGCGACCCGCCCCGGATTCGCACGGTTGCAATATGCATGTATTATACATATAAACCTTCCTTAAGAATCACGCATCACTTTGTTTTATACTATGTAGTGACTAATTCCTTGGTAGTAAGTAGGTAGGTACTGCCTACGGGAAGAATTTTTTGACAAAGTAGAATTTATTAACTGGTCGCTAGGTACACTTGCTCCTCCTATGTGGCCGATAAATACGAGAAGTTTCTTTGGGCGAATCATCACATATTATCATATTTATTATGATAAGTAGATAACACATGCGTACCTACTTAGCAAGTAGTCACTTTTCAGGAACAAATGGATCAATTCCCAATTACGTATATTTCCGCTACACGACACGATAAAGTGAATATGTGATTAAAAATACTTACCTACTTCTTTTCTCTCTGTAGTATTACCTAGGTATAAATAATATTAATCAATGACTTAGATCTGGAACGAATTACAACTTGCGAAATTTAATTAAACGTTTTCTGTATCTGACTGTTATCACAAACATGTTTTAAATTTTATCCGCGACATGTAAAATATTTTAATTCATACAAGCCATTTGTTGCATGCACAGGGTACGTGTTCATAACGCTAGTTGCGTGGTTATTACAATACCAATTTTGAATTATACGCACATTGAGATTTTATCAGTGCATTAAGTACTTAGTTTAGTACTTGTTTTGTAAATATACACATCTAGCAATTAATTTGTCATTGACATTAATTTAACAATACCTAAAAATAATTTATGATAATTACACATGAAATGATGAAGCTAAAGATTGTTAGTAGTTAGTATTATGCAATATAACACCGACTATATATAGTTTTATATGAATTGAAATAAAATAAAATGCCTTATTTTTCTATAGTATTTATTTATCATTATCATTTTTAATGTACACTTATTATAACTTTGAAGGCTGACCTAAAAGGAAACCCTAGATGTATTTGTCAAATACCAATTTGTGGTACATGTTTACCTATATTTGCACTTGTTTATAATATTCATATTGCAATGATAAATGAAAATTATATTTATAATACAATGCTAAAATCACTTTACCTGCCATCCAAGTGCATGATTTTAACATAACATTTAAAATAAACTAACATAAATTTGGGCCAATAAAAGAAGTCTCTGCTTAATATATTAATAGATATTAAATAAGTATATAGTATAACAAACATATTATTTCACGATAGTAAATCTTGGTGCTGTTGTGATTGTTGTTGGTGTATTTCCTGCATAGTGGAGACAGGCAGTGTGGCGCTGACCGTGATAGATGGCATTCCTGGCAATGACACCGGAGTGACAACGGGCAGTCCACTAGAGATTGGAGGTGGCTGTATTGGCGTTTGGGCAAAGTTGCTCATGTCAAAAGTGGGAACTAGGTTTGTCGCGGCCTGAGGATATGCTGCAGATGTAGGTACTTGTGATGCGGTATAGTTTGGCATAATTGGTATATATGGTTGAGGCTGGTTCATTGGGATACCAGGTAAGTTAGGCAGTGGAGCTGGAGGTTGCATATTTGACACAGATGGTATACTTCCCAGGTTAGTTAATGTTGCATCTGCTAAATCTGAAAAATCAATAGGGATATTTTAAAATTATAGTATAGTAAATCCTAAACTACCCCAGATACCAAAATAAACAATACTAACTGCTAGAGTATGCCGCCATATTGGATACAACTGATTGTGCTTGAGACATAGGCTGCTGTGAAGAAAAAACTTGCTGTCCTGCTTGTTGTTGAGGAGTAATAGGTGGAGGTATGGTAGTTACACCTCCAGGAGGGGGCACATAGCCACCAGGGTTGACCATGGGAACTCCGGACAGGAAAGGAGGAGGTACACCCTGTGGATACTCTGCCTGAACATTAGACACTTGAGGTGCAGACATCAGAGGAGTTTTATCATCATCTATGTTTAAATTTTGTACACCTGGTATCAGATTCTGTTGAATGTTAGCAGTGTTGGACATCTGAAAATTTATAGCATATGATTAAAATTTAAAAAATAAAAATATACAATTATATTTTTAGAAACTTAATGAAGTATTTTGATTACCATTGGCACACTAGCTGCATAAGGTTGGTTTGGCGGCAATGTCTGTACACTCCTTATTGGAATCCTATGCAGGTAACCATAGCCTATCCCACATCCTAGGCTGCCTTCTCCACCCCAATTATGATTAGGTGTGATGTGCACTTCTCTGCAAGTATCATCATTTACATTATACACATAGAGCTTCAGAGCTCTACCCTCATGAGCCTCAATCAATGTAAATAGATCTTCACTCTCATGCATGATCGAATCTGCTCCTATTATATAATCAGAAAATGGTCTTAATCCAGCCAGCTCTGCAGGTGACGACGGATGTACCTCCTGTAACATTAAAATATATTAAAGTAAATTAGGCTATTTCAAACAAATATGCAAATGTTTTCTTTATTATTGGTGTAGAGAAAGGTGATGAGTCTTTATTGCTTTTGATAAATATCAATTTTGTTTGTTGATTATGGTTATATTTAGGTTTATCACAAACAGAACTTACCAATACATGCCAGACGTTTTCATTAGCACCTTCAAAAGAACAAAATCGAATGCTAACCCCGAGTAGGCCCTGACCACCCCAATTAGCACTTGGGGTAATCATAACTTCCCTGACCATTTGGGTTTTACTACTATAAATTAACATTTTAATAGTTTTGTCGACATTTTTCTTTAACAACTCCTTCAGGGTATCATTATCCTGATCTAGCCTAGTGTCTTCAATAGCTACTATAAAATCAAAGAAAGCTTCCAGATTCGCCTTTTGACCCGGAGATCCATCTTGAACCTTAAAACAATAAAGTAAGTTTTAGAAATTAACTAATATTTATAGAAAAGAAATAAAATACCGTTCGTCACAAAACAACACAAACCCGCAAAACATGATATCCTTCAGAGCCGCCTCCTGGCACTTCAGTACTATGGGAGGAACCCATTGATTAATTATAAAAGTGCAAATGCCTATTACCGGCAATTTTTATAATTTAATTAAGGTTTTATTATTTTTTCGATAAACTAAAATTCCTTTACAACCGCAACAATTTTGGCATTGACATTTCTATTACGTGGCATGAAGTTGCAGTTGCATACACATCACTAGTCATAAACAACTGACAAAATTACATTTTGTTAATCGACTAAATATAAGAATAAAATTATGTAACTTCCAAACGGCAGTTAAACAATTGTTAAAATAAGAACATTTGATTTATCTTATTACTAACACTGTTTAACTTGTGTCCTTCGCACGCAATAATCAATTATTACCATTTACTTTAAACTTCTTGCACCAGTGACATGACATCCACAGGGCGCAACTTCCACAGCCACATCAGCCGCTGCCCACAACCCTTATTTTATTTAACAAGAACTTTCTTATTTCAATACTTGCCATCTGGCCACTTGGTATTATGAGAGGGATTAAAATTTTTGAGCTTACGAGTAAAGCTCAAAAATCCCAAGAATTAACTATGGAGACCAATGTTGTCAACGTTAAGTGATAGGTGTCAATGTCAGCTGTCATGTCACACTAATGAAATATGAATTCACAATTATTTGTTTTCATGGAACCAATTTTCTCACCATTCCAGGAAAAAAATAAAGTGAATTGCCTATTGTTATAAATAATGTTTGGCTCTACAATCGTGCTATTGTTACAAGGTTTAAGTTACTCCTAAATTGCCATTACTTTTTTATTAGAAAGGTATGTCATCATCAGTCACCATAACACAAGACTATTCATTAAATTGTATCGATTTTGTTTCAGAAGTTTAATTTGTTTCAGTATAACCAAACAACATCTCATATTAGATTATATGTTTATCCTTATAGACTTAAAAAAAATGTCAGTAATTTAGCCTCCATGGGTGTGGCAGTACACATGCAAGTGAATGTATGCATAATACCGAAATTAAGCCTGATGCTTTTTTGTAACTAATGTGCGTGACGACTAAAAAACTGCAAAACCTTGAAACTATATACAAAAACCAATGTGTTTGTCTTAACTAAGAAAATATTAAAATTAAAAGCATTATATTACAAAAGTTACATTGCAAAAACTCTAAATCTCACCAAGAAGATATCATTCTCATTTCTTCAGGTAGAAAGAGACATTTATCATAATGACTGAATGGAAGCAATTGATATCGGAGTGGCTGAATGAGTACGCTGCACTTCTGGACAATGAAATCAAAAGCTTTGCAGCTGAACACGAACATAACCATGAAATAGCTACTGCTATCTTTAATCTGTTCTACAGTGAAGATGACAGTGGGACTAACACAAACAAATTGGAGAATGAATCTGAATATGAACAGGTATTTATAGTCAAAAACTACATAGTATATCATATTACGCAATGGGATGGTTGACTAGACAGTCTCTGTACTAAAACATTTTATTATTTAATAATAATAACCATATTTGTATACCACTTCTATACTAATTTGTTTGCTAATGACTCTATACTGAATTTTTGAAACAACTGACTTTTTGTAATTAGGCTACAAAATAGTACATTTATACAGCTAATTAAAAAAAACTTTATTATTTCAGATATTGGAAAATGTTTGTACCCAATTATTCAGCTTCTACAGATCAAAGGAAGTTGAGTTACAAAGGTTCACACTGCAGTTTGTTCCTACTCTTATTTATAACTATCTGAGCTCAGTAGCTCAAGGAAGTAAAAAAACTTGGCGCTGCATAGAAACTTTATTGATTGGTAAGTATTTTTTTGCTCTAGTCTGAATTTTTAATATAAGAATATATTATTTAAAATACTTTGAAATAATATTACAGGCCTGTATAACTATGAAGTTGTGGATGAAGAGGGCAAACCCAAAGTAGTTCAATTCAGACTCCCATCATTAGCGCAAGCTTCCATATATCACGAGGTAATAACATGTAATTGTTAATAATAAAATATTTAAATTAATGACATAAGTATATTTGTTGAAAATGATTAAATGTGTGAAAAATATTTGAAAGTTTTTATTCAATAATACAAAGATCATTTACATTGAAGTTATGTGTATTCACCACACTTTTATTTATATTTTCCAGCCATTATCTTTGGGGTCCCAGTTCCTAACTGAGAGTGCATTACGGAGGTGGGAAGAGTGCAATACTAAACTAGTGAGTTGGGGCCCATTCCCACAAGTCGAAGTGATCAATGCCCAAAACCGATTGAAAGTAATGTCAGCACTACTATTTATTTACAATCGCCAACTGAGTTTATTACCGAAACTTGCTTTGCGTCATTTCTGTATTGCTGCATCAAGGTAAGGAACAAATAAAGTGACAATGTTTAGTTTAGATAGTTGATAAGTATAGTTTAGATTGAAGTTAAGTTAATTGCACTCTAAAATTTAAGGAAAATTTAAGATAAATCAATAGCATTAAAGTTTATCTTGTATCAACTATTTATTTATTTAAAAAAACCCACACTAGGTTTGTCTTCTGTTTGGTGGGTGCATTTAAAAACATACAACTTCGCATATACATTACACCCAGACCAGAAACAACAATTTCCTTATCACACAAAGGGTTGTTCCGCGCGGGAATCAAACCCGCGACACGTTGCGCCCAGCCACGGCACCAACCGTGCAGTCTATATTTATAGCATATATTTTTTCTGCGTTATTTTTTATATTACATTAATATCATATTATACTTGTTACAGAATAGTCACACAAGGTTTCAATAAGAAAATAACTACAGCATCTGGAAAACCAGTACCGAGAATACCAGTGTCGTCAAGTTTCTTATTGGAAATGATTGAAGGCGCATATTTTGCTATGTTCAACGAATTCTACACACTGGCTCATCAAGCAGTCCAAGATATTGACCAGAGAGCGCAGTATGAACTATTCCCTGATGTTATGTTGGTTACTAGTGCTGTGATAAATTCTTTAAAAAATAATCCTTCAGGTATGTACCCTGATTATATTCATCACCCACATCATTTTACTGCCTCATTGGTTCTTGGTTACTAAGTATGAACTCTCGGGTTCAATCACAAAAAAAAGAGTAAGGTAATATTATTGAGGTTTTCCATTTTGAAATTCTCAGTAATAGAATGGCGTGTGGAATTGAGCCCGAGTTGTGACCTGTATGATTGATATAATGAGCGAAAACTGTACTGGAAGTACATCCTCCTTCCTTCCCCTTCAGGGTGTAACAGGTGTGATGACAATTGTTTTCTACCATAGATAATATATAATTGATATTAATAAGCATTTGCAAAACACCTCTAGAATATTAAAAATGGCCTATTGTAAGAAAACCTCAGTTACCTATGTGACCTTTTTTCTTACTTATTATGTTTAGCCCATAACTACCTGGCATCTATTTTGTGACACTACCACCTAGCCTAGCATACGTCTGAGAGACCCCCGAACCAAATACATAGCGATATAATGTAACACTTTGTATGATACGGACTGGAGAAACATAGTTTACGAATATTTTAAGTATATTTAAATAAATATTAAAACTATAAAAGAATATATTTCTCCAACATGTACTTTAAATCTTAACTAAATAATAAACTCCCCTTATTAACGAATGTATTTTTAAGTGAGATCCATTATACCTAATAATCCATTATAAAAAGAGGCAATTATTTGTCCTTGTTTTTAAATACTCAATAATCTAAAATAAAAAAAAATATTTTTTTTAATCGCAACCAAATTTCAACAAAATAGCAAGGCTCAAAGTTGCTATCTGTCACGATTGAAAAAACAATTTATACAAATTGGACCTTTGTGTTGGAAATATAAGTATTCCTTTTGTTTTACTTTACAGTTCTTACACACTTTGGCGTAGGTACGCCAGTACATTACAGTCCAATCCGGAACTTTTTCTAATGCATGATCTACTCCTGCATGACATCCTCCTGATTAAAGTAACACAGCAAAACACGTATAACGTGTTAAGTTAATTTTCATCGCCTAGTGGGCCCTTTGCCAGTCTCCGACATTTTCCACAATGAAAACCATATTTACAACAAAAGTATAAAATGAAAAAGTTACGTAACCACCTGGCATACGTCTCTCGGACCCGCAACGAAAGTGAATATAATTTATTTACCAGAGTTAAACGCGTGCATGTCTGACTGCATCGAGTGCTTGGACGATGCACTAGAACGCAAGGAACAGAAACTACCTTTCAAGGTCGTATGAAACTTAGAGACAGCAATATTCCTAAAATAAATCAGTCGGGGTCTGTGAGACGTATACTAGGTGGTTATGGGTTAAATTGCCACTCAGTGTAGAATATCACCTTCGAAAACATACAAATACTACATTTATAATTTACTCATTTAGTTGTATTAATAGAAGGTTGCTCAGCATCAAAATATGTATTTAAGATGTACTTATATATAAAGATATAAGAACATTATAGACCAGTATCAATTACCATTATCGTAGAAATCTTATTAAAATCTGAATCATGTACTTGAAAATAATGGCTGAGTGATGACTTAATAAAATAACTACGTACGATATGATTGTAATTTGCAATCAATACAGCATAGTATACCATCAGAGAAAATAGACCTTTTCTTATTTACGTACTGGACCTTTTTTGAAGATAAATACTCTTATACAAAAACTTTTATCTATTTGGTCCTGGAGTTTCCTAAAACTGTGATCAGCACCGCCTTTTCTACTGTGATAGGAGTATGGGAACCTCGATGGAGGAGTGGAATTTGTGCAACAATGGATGTCTTCTGTCTGATTATGGAGTTGAAATTAACGAAATAATTATGTGTTTTTTTTTTCAGGACAACCATGCGACGGGCCCATGGGTATAAGTGTAGCGTTGTCCCCTGCGACTACTACTGTGACCATGTCGAAATCCATGATCACTAATGCATCATTCCGTACGAAGAAGTTACCAGGTGAGAATAAGTAGTAGAATAATTCCTATCAAATATACCGAAGCAGTCATACAGTAACTTTAAAGAATACCTACAACCTACATACTTAGGGTAGGAAAATCTAGACAATTATTTTGCTAAGGTAGCAATCGCAATTTCAAGTATAATACATAATAAGATTCCCTTCTGGATTAACATTTTTGCTAGAGACAAGTTGATCACGGGCAGTGTACTCCATAATGGAGCACCATCGCGCCACTAAGCAAGTTAGTCACGGCGTTGGTTACTATCTCGCCATCTACAAACTATAAAAATATAAATCAAATTGGACTCAAATAATTTTCTGAAATAAGATCACCTGACTAAAGATCATAAGTAATATAATATTGTATTACAATATTTTTGGTTTACGTACAGATGAACATAAGTGCATGCTGCCAAATGCATGCTCCTCGCCTCGTACTTTGGATTGTAGCTTGTGGACTAAAAACATTGATTGTATGTGCAGTGATATTGATAATTATACATACTATCACAAACTTAATACACGCCACTTTATTGGCTTACTAGAAATATAAAAATAAGCTAATTACGTATATCAATCACTGAGATTAAATGAAATTAACTAAAATTTACTAAAATATGGCTTTTATAGGAACATATCCGCAGTGCACTTTAAAAACGCATTACAGCACTTTGTGGCGTTCGCTGTTTAAACAAACTTCTTAAACACAGCTCTTCACTTTGTCAAATACATGTGGATCAAACCCGATAATAATATAATACAGCTTTTAGGAACCATTGCATAAAGAAAGTCACGCTTCTTAGAAGATTTTTTTCATAATCGAAATAAATAATAACATATTATTGTTAATTTTCATGGAATTGTAAAGAGAAAATTACATTTCTTGGTCACTTACATTACATAGTTACACAAGCTATTCATTGCCTACAACCACCAACCACCAAAAACTATATCACTAAGTGATTGTCTGGAACTCGTAGAGTCACACTAACTAAACTATTTAATACATTGTGAATGTTTCTTATTTTATATAGACAGTAGAAACAAAACTAAGCATTGTGGTGTTTTTGGTTTGTTTTACTTAATTTAAATGCAATGTTCTGATTGCATACTTACTACTTTTTTTTCAGATGACATTCCTATTCAAGCTGGACAAGCCGTAGCAACTGATTCAGCCGATATGCTCACTGCAATCACCGAGGAGTGTGAAGCCGAAGCTGCTCCAATACAGCGTGGCGGTGCTGTCCGGAGTTCCAAACCCAAACTAAGTTCATTTCCTGTACTCGGTAAAAAAACAAAAGATAGCAAAGACAAAAGCGCGAATTCGGGCGAGAAAAAAGTTACACTTAAGGAGTCTTCCAAAGGTATTTGGAATTCACTGAGCGGTGGCGGCGGCGGGGATATGGTAGATGCACAACAGAAGTCTAATGTTACTGACAGTTCAATAGAGGCGAATGGCAGCATGAAAGATGAGAAAATGTCCATGACTTCAATGCATAATAGTACTGAAAACTCTGACACACGGTCGCAAGTCACTTCCGACTCACTGGATATTGAAACGACTCCACGCTTTGCGGCAATGCAAGTCAGTTCAGTATAACTTTATAAAGTTTGTGGTGTCTGGTTGGTAGAGAGTTAATTTGGTGATGTGATAGAATATATTTCCAGGAGATAGCTAATTCTGTGTAAACTTTAAAAAAAATTTAAGGTCATGTTGGAAGTGGTTACTTGTTACATTGGTTAAAGTTGCTTATGTTAAATGAAAGGATGCAATATTGGAAGTATTTATTTATAGACTCTGTTGTGCAAATTATTTGTTACAAACTCATCACGCAATATAATTATGTACCTTACATAAATTGTTCAGAATAAAATTCTTATTTAATGATGAAATGGTATACATTTTTCCGTGTGCAAAAATATATCATTTTCCTGTTATGTTTATACTTAACAATTACGCGTGTAGGTACCTAGTACAGATTTTTCACATTGCTAAAGATAATCCCATTATAACAATTAATATTAATAAATTACTTACTTTAAGTAACTAGTTAATCAGTTGCACTTGCAGATATTACTCCACAAACACATTACCGCTCTGTATTGATTACAATAAATTCTAAATCAATAAATGTTTTGATATTTTAAAAGTAGTGTTGCAAAATGCATTATCATGCCTTTCATAATTATGTGTGTCATATTTTCCTTTATTAGTACAAGTTGCCAGTATGTACCAAAATAGGGAAAATTACTCGACCCCAAACCAACCGTGGCTGGGTAACAGTGTGTTTATTATAAAACGAAATCTATTTTTGATTCTGAGTTTTATTATAATTTATTTGCAGAGCTTTGTCTCTTAGAGACAATTGAAAAATATTTAGGTATGTTAAGTATGCCATCAGGCACTTACACTACTAACAGACTATTTCTAAGAAATATAATCACAATTTGTTTGTAATAAACAACGTGAGTACCTACGTAACGTCAGTAGGTACTTTAGTTCTCGTTAATTTATCTTTGTTTCTTGCCACTTTGCTCCTGTAGGTTACCGTTATCACATCTCAGAAACTTATAACATTTTGTGTTTATTCATTTGTAGAAGATAATATTTATTTAAGAAACTTTTACTGATATAAATAATAGTCATAGTAAAACACATTTCAGTCGCATTTGGTAGGCTATTAGGTTCGCGGTGAATTTCAAAATGAAGTGCGTACTTGCATTGAGTGTGTTCGTGGTAATTGCAATTTCGTCGTGTTTAGCTAGTGACCTAATAATTGGGACTAGCTACAACGCCCGCTTAGCATGGCAGCATAAATCAGACTATATGGGCATTCCATTCAAGAAGAGAGTAAAGGAAGTTTTCTACTCAGATCCTGGCCAACAAATAATCAAAGTAAGCATTAAAGTTATTATTTTTAAAAGTCGGTTGCTGGGAGCCAGGTGTCCGGATTGCATCGAGGGTGCAGTGACAGGGAAACTAATTTCGACTCGCGGGTTCAACTCCTGCGTCAGTTAAAAAGTGACGATTAGCTACAGCTAGTCTGAAGAGTATCTATGTACTTAGATGTGATTACCTAAAAATGTGATCTGATTTCATACTCGGTGAGTTGTGATAGAGGACATACCCCATGGAAGTCTGCATTTGCTGGATGGAGGCAGCCTGCTTCCTAACCTATGTCTATTTATAGGTCCTGGAAATTTTCATGGATCATAATTTACATGTCACTTTTAAAACGACACCAAGGTAGGTTACATAGTTTCCTATAAGGCCAGAAAACAAAATCTGACTGCTTCTTTGACTATTTCAGGGCATCATAGCAAGAGACATCGACCACACTTCAGGGAGCGCCACAGTCACTGCCGGTGGTGTCGGTTTCAGTTTCGCCAACATTCGTCTTAAGAGTGAACGTGGCAGTGGACTGAATTACCAAATCGAGATTTATGTATAATATTCGATAGCGGTCGCTATCTCCCTACTTTATATAATTATTAAATAAACAGAGGTCAAGTTCGCAGTAATAATCATGTCTCATTTTTAATACACAATAGTTTCAATACATATATAATAGTTTCAATTTCTATATATCGGTCGTTTCTATATTAAACTATATTGGTCTTACAGACCTTATATAAGTAGGTCATAGAAGACACAGGTACGTATACTATTAGGTATATTGATTGTGTTATGTGATTGTGACAGTCCCTGGCAATAGCGCTCATAAATTATTACCCAATGTCAAATGTCTGAAAAATCAATACCTGTCTAACTACTTGTACCTATGTACTACCCATCTACTTATGTGCAGTCAAAATGTGTATTTGTAAGTTCCAAAGTATATAGAATCGGGATCACGCTATCGTTTGTGTAACACAGATGAACCTACCTACTTTTGAACTCAATAGTCAGTTGACAAACAGATAGCGCATGCTTCATCGACCGTTTACTTAGAATTGTGTGCCGATAAATAATGTTGCAGATAAGTAACTAAGTGGTTATTTTGTTCATTATGAAGAGTTAGAGTATAGAGAAATAGTTAAAAACGTTAAAACTAAATCGTGTTAACAAATTCACTTGAAATCATTGACATAAGATTTTGTGATTCTTGGTCCTGCAATAATTTTGTTATTGATCTTCACTTCTTTTTGCCTAGGAACAATAAATATGTTTCTGTTGACGATATCTTCAGATGGCGCTGCGAACGGGATGCTATCTAAACCGCGTGGTATTGCTCTGGGATTGTTAGCTTCTAGGAGTTGCTGTAGTTTGTTAATAACAGCAGCTTGCTCGTCACGTTCCATCTCATTTATAACGATAGGTAAATTGGCAGCACATATCCATAGGTAAAACATCCCCACTGAAAAATGACAGTAAAACAACAAAACATATTTACAAGTTACCTAGACTTACATAGGTATCTAAGTATCTAATCTCAGGTTTTTGTCTGATACCTAATAATTAAGAACTTACAAAGTAAAAATCCACCAGCAACGCTCGCTCCTATCAGCATACCAATGTCCATAGTGTTTTGTTTAATCAGAAGCAATACAGTTGCAATTAAGACCGAAATTATAATAAGTCGCAGCAACTCCATGAGTATATAAAATACCATTAACACGTTGTTACACTGTCAAGTAAAGGTTTAATAATAATTATTATTATTATTAAATAAAATAATAGGTAGGTAGAATGAGTAGATAATAATTTACCGTATATGCCCCATAGATATACACAACGCACACAATCATGTAAATACTTGTGAAACTAATTCCAAGTGAAATATATTTATCTGGATCTGTAAAAATATTAATAATGTGAAATTGGTTAAAGTAAACTTTTGTCTACAAAATCACAGAAGTAACATAATACCTCATGTACCTACCAGCTTGTACGTCCTCTAAATAACTCTGAGCATAAATAAGGTTGTAATCATGAATCCAGTTAGTAATCTCATCTTTGACTAATTCCGGCCGTCTATGTCCTAAGCAACAAAATACCAATAACACAAGTCCCTGAAACTAAGTATTTTATTATTGTTACAAGCACACAAGACGTGTCGGTACTATGTATACTGCTTATCCACTTAACAGAAATAGATACAGATAATGTCACTTACCAGAGAAAATATTCCTATCAAAATGCCTCCTAAACGCAAAGAAAACCAAAAGCAGCAGCTATATACTAAAGCCATGGTATTAGGTAATAAATATCACATTTTTATTAGCTTTACAAATGGTATGAGGGGTTGATATTCGAATCACGGTCCACGATAAAATGTTACGTGTCCAAGTTTAATTCATTGCATCATGAAACGTACCATTTAAGGTCGGTTATAATAGCTTGGGTATAATAACAACGAATTACGATAATTGCTAGTAGTATTGATCTAATAGATTGTCTCCGATATTATTTTGGGGTCCAGTATAACGTTTATTATGATGGCGTGGGCAGAAGTGACATTATAAGTAGATTTACATGCCCTGAACTTTTAATGATTTATGCATCTTAAATATGTTTAATAAATTTGAAATACAAAATTTTGTATGTTCTGTGTCCCGAGGCTAAGAGAGATGTGCATGTAAAATCAGTGTTTTTAAAACTAGCGTGGTGACAATTTAAGCAAAAAACTAAAAAAAACAACAAGGTATATGGTTCCGTAATAAGAATATAGCATAGGTAATGGATATATAATTGTTTGCGTGGGGTTTGAGTTAGTACTTTCTATTTCTATGAATCAGAACCGGTTAAATCTCGGATTTCACCATAGCACGTCATCATACTTAAATGTTGTGAACTGGGAAGCGGTGTGGGTGGGTGCGGTCGTTGATCTGCTTCAATTAACGTCGAACTATACAAGCGATGACACATGTAGGTCAGTCTAATCCAATCTTTTGTTGACTTGCTCCAAATACTGTAATTATGGTCAACACATCAACCTAACATTACTGTCACCCAGTAAACTTTAACAGCGATGCTCCGTGATCCGTTAACTATTAAACCAACCGATATATGTACATCTAATAACGGGGCATTTAGTGACCACTAGTATATTTACGTGCAACGAAACCGAAATATACACCTACATTATTAATTAAGGTCTAAATATTAATTTGTCTGACTGCCTCGTTGGCCGAGTAGTCGCAAGTGCGACTGCCGGGCAAGAGGTCTCGGGTTCGATTCCCAGGTCGGGCAAAGTATTACTGGGTATTTAAAAAAAAATCAGTAATAGCACGGAGTCTGGAAATGTGCCCGGTATATGGCAATAGGCTCACCCCCTATTACAGTGAAAAGTGGGTGTTACTTCTGTGTGCACCTCTGCCTACCACTTCGAGGATAAAAGGCATGATGTTATGTTATGTTATTAATTTGTGTAGTCACATTGTAGTATATGTATTTAAAATAATCGCACATTCGTCATCTATTGTTATAAACGAATGTAATGTTGTTGCGTTATCATAAGTAGGTACTCGTGCACCAATATATATCGACCCGTATATTGCGCAAAGCATTGTAGCACAAATATTTTAACAAAAATGTCATGTTCTGTGCGTAAATATTTCAATTATCTGCCGCTCCTAAATAAGGAAAGTGAATCATAAGATATAAATAAAATAATGTGTAGAAATTATTTTTATTTATTAATTCCTCCTGCAGTGCTTAATAGTTGCTGACAATTTAAGAACGAGATCTTGCAGTTAAACGTTATTATTTACATTTAATGTGTGCTAAGGCTTGCTTCTTCTGGTTTAGTAATGGCACTATTTACTAATGTAAGCTGGATTGGCGGCACTAAGTTATTAGAATATCATGGAACTTATTAAACTTCCAACAATTAGATTTTTTCGTCGCAACAAAATATTAAGTACATTTTTAACATCCAAATGGAAATTTAATCGTATTTAACCCTATGAAACAATATCGGTTTAACTTTAAATTAATGACTTTATCATTCACCCAATACAAAATTTGAACAAAACTTGGCAAAATCTAACTTACAAAGCTATTTTTTGGCAAACACATTAATTTATATGTTATACAAAGATAAGTAAAACACAATACATTGTTTGTGTCACGTGGGTGCAGAATTCCAGAATATGACTACAATACAGTCTTCTACATTATATATTTTCCTAAAGTCAAATATTTGATGACATCAAACAATTAACTGTGAATATGTTTTTGATGATATATTTAAAATCTACTTTAGATCAAAAATAATTACCACCACTGATAAGGCAATATTGTGTCAATGAACGTAATGTACAATGTTTTAATGTTGTCTTGTGACTTGGAGAATGACACTAGTGGTGAACATTTATTTTTGATCATCACTAAGTACATATCGGTACGAACATTCAAATATTTGGTATTGTAATGAATGTAGAAGAAAATTTTAGAAAATTTCTATTATTGGGTTGGACACACATCTATGAATGTCTACAAGGAATTGGGTTGCCTACTCGTAATCGATATTTTAAGGTAATTTCATAAGTATAGGAGAGCTGTTTGCTACACAGACAATTATTTTAACATTATTATAAGTACCACATAGTAAAAATACGCAAGTGATATTGAAAAATCTGACGATATTTTTCCAGTCAATTAAAGCTTTTCTATCAACATGAAATACCTTATAAAATAAAACTAAAAAATTAAAATGCCATCAATTGAAATTATGTTTCATTAATTTGTTTCAAATTTTACTCGAATTTGTTGTATATCAAACTTTCTATCGTACGTCGTTTTTTTTACAAAGTCGAAATTAATAATAAATGTGATTATGTCTATACACTATTTGCTAAAAAAAAACTTACCTTGGCAGCAAATTATTAAATTATCGTCGCTGTACACAAAGTAATAGTAAAGATGTCATTTTCATAATTACAAACTCGTTATTAAGTCAGAGATCATCAGCAATATACGAGCGACGACAAACGGAACCTAAAATTCCTAGAGCGAGATTTATACATTGAGCAATACTCTAAAATCTCACTCAAATTACAATTATTTAAAGTTAACATAAGTAGGTATAGAAGCAAACAGTAACCTATTACAACTAAAATTAGATAGGCATTATTTTAGTTTAGACATTTCCACCACTAAAATTTAAAGTGACTGGAACAACATGTTTAAATAAAGCAAAATTATAAATTATAAGTTGGAACTCATAAATCGCAAAACATGTTGAGTACATTTGGATCAAGTTTGGTTATAAGCTATCAAAATAATAGTTTAACTATATGTTAATGATTGAGGTACGCCATTAACAGTCTTTGATTTCAGGACCCCGTTCTCGTACGACATTACTGTCTCCCGACCGTTTTCTGTCACCCTGTAACAATCAATTCATTACATTAAGTAAACAATTTGATAAAAATATGAACTCTTTTTAATTATATTATTAACATTAATATTTATGCTATAATAATACTCTAATTTATTCCAATAAAAATTCCAAGTTTATTAGAATTATTAGGCCTAATTAAAAGTGGAATTCCATTTTTATTGTATGGTATGTTCCACCAAATTGCCTATAGTAAAATACCTTACAGCTCAAGGACCATAAAATTTCCTTCAATGTTGTACATTCTAGACATAATATTTATTTGAACCTTGCAAAAAAAATTTAAGGCTACTAATAATTTCGCAATGCTAGTTACCTAGCTGTAGGTCATTATTTAAAGCATTTCAATGCAGAACATATTTTTAAATTTACATACAATCAGACTACCTAAGTTGAAGGCGAGCTATACTTGGTACACTCAGAATATCATTACCATACCAGTGTTTGCGTATAATGTACTACAGAACAAAAAATTATATTTATGATAAAAAAAAAACAGATTTTCTTACTTTTTAGTCGTGATCTTTTTCCCGTTAACAATGCGCGTCGTAGTGGTAGTACTTCTCATGTTAGCGCTGCCGGGTCCCGCTAATGAGCTATTGAATGTAGAGAATGAAGTGAACGTGTTCCCATTCGATGCGGCATGTGCAAATATGTCATCGAGTCCTTGCATGCCGAACCCAAACGGGCTGAACAGGGATGAAGTGAGGGAAGTGCTGGGGTGGCTCCGACGACCGTGCCTGTGATGACCGTGTCCATGACCGTTGATTTCTAAAAAAGAAAACAGAAAACTAAATGATAATTGTCGGTAGAGAGCGCTGGTGAATACTTGCTAAATACAAACCATCATCTGTAAATATTTGATAGTTACATTTATTAGACGAACAGAACTTTCCACGCCACATTGAACAAACAAAATTAATCTTCATTTTGTGCCCATTTGATGACACCAATTCAAGATAAACAAATATTATGCCAGTATAAATGAAGTGCCAGTCTTTATGTAATAACTTGTTCGTTCGCAAATTGAACATCAATTTATATTTTATTACATAGTTATTAATGTCGTTTACTTATGTAAAAGTGGCACTTGAATCAAAATAAAATAAAAAATAAATATCCGTTAATATGAATAAGTAAAAACAAAATATGTAGCTACAATTAGTCGCAATATCAGTTTATCGTTATCTCTATTGTTTATTCTTTCAGGTCACTGTAACTTCCATTAGCAAACCATTATTTATGTAGGTAAGATAACACAACGCATCAGATCGACCTTAATTAAAATCTGTTTTACTCATAAGTTCTAAAATTAATTTAATGTGTTATTCTCAAATATTTTACCAGGAAATAAATCGCCGAATGGAGACCCGCCGAAGAATTCTCTGAAAACCTCTTCGGGGTCACGGAATGTGAACGGGAAGCTAGGGTAGCCGAAGTCGTAATCATCGTCGGGAGCTGAACGCCTGCCTCTGCCGTTATTCAGCCCTTCTTTGCCATACTGATCATATACTCGCCGTTTTCTTTCTGAAATAAATAGGTACAAACATTATAATTCAGTTAAAACATAATTAAATTGTTACTTAAAAGGTTCTTTAAAGGTCCTTTGTCACATCATGCGTTTAGTCCAATAATTCGAAAATAACCATTTCCAGTTTTCAAACTCTAAATAGGTAAGTATTGCGAACTCGAGTTTATAGCGTACACATAAGTGATGTCACCAATGCACGAAACTTCGGTAAAACGACCTTAGCTGCCTCCGTTAGCATCTGCGATGAATTTCCTAGTAATCGACAGTTATGTGATCACGACTTTGTATAAAAACTATCATAGTGATTAAATTAAGTAGCAATTTTTCAAAATTACTTGATAAATAATTACGTATTATATAAGTTACATATATCAGATTCAAGGTCGGGTACTAAAGTTTTACCTTATGCAATTAAAACAAACCCTATAAATCCGAACTACGTGACTGGGAGGCTTTAAATAATAGCATAGGTCACGTAATTAATTAAATACTAGCAACTAACAAGTTGACATAAGGTTCTTGGTTTTTAAGAGGTCACAAAGAGGAATGTACTTAGCTACTTTTAGCTGAATTTGTTTAGCGTGCGAAGATGAACTTCGTTCTGGTTGCAGGATGTATTAGATTAACCCTTTGAGTACCGTCATTATAGACACAATTAAAGAACAATAGGTGTTTGACAGTTTAAGTTATGTTGGTACATTAACGCCTACTTTTCGCCCAAAGAATTAATAGAAGTATGACTGACGTTTCACGTAAACATCGAGTTTAATGAATTAACAAACAAATAACAGTGAGTTTAGAATTAGTTAGCAATCGATTAATCAAGAGTTAAGATTTAGAAAGCAAAGCATGTACTAAAAGTACTTACGCGCAAATACAAAACAATAGGCATGATAAACATTCTGAAATTGAGTCAAGGCTACATTTGATATGAAATAAAGTACCCAAATGTAAGCCTAAGTATGTAACTAATTATAGCATAGAGTTTTAAGGTAATTTAACGGTTGCGAGAACCTTAATTGGAACGAATATTTTTATAGTTTCAATGTTGTAAGTTGCAACAGATACTCGTTTTGTGCAAGTACGAGATTGCCATTCAGGTGTTGTGTGAATACTGAATGCTGGTAAATATTGTAAAATTGGAGAATGCGTGTGAGGATTCTGTTTTTAGAAAACACTTAGCATGTCGTGTATGAAAATAGTTGTTACGTAGTTTTTATTTTAAGACAGAGGTAGGTAATTATTTGCTCTTGTACATTGTTTTATTAACATTCGTTATTATTTAACCATGTTCAAAAGTAGATAGCCAAATGTAGATAACTAGGTTCGCGTTTACTTCAAAAAATACAGTCCATGTATAATTAGGTATGTAGTATTAGGAATTTAACGTATAGTCAGAGATACCGAAATATACCCAGTAGATAAGTAGGTACTCATTTATTTATAAAATGTGCTTATAATTACTTTGTTTGACTTCCGTGATTTTAATATACAGTTACAATGACTCGCCAAACATATGTAATGTTCCCATTTTATTCATCACCAAGAAGGTGAATCACTTCGTGCGTAGGAGGATATGTTCGTATGACTATAACTTATGAATGTTTAACATAAAATTCCACGTTCATAATAACTGGAATTAATATTAGGTGCATTTAAATGTAACTAGGTCCGTATATTGCGCCATTGTACTGCAACACCGCGTTATCTACAGGTAATCAGCTATTTCACTTCAATTTCGTCACTGACCATTGATCCATCGAACCATTATTAACGCAACAAAATACGGTAATACGTAGGTTTGATACACGCTTTTTGCAGCTATTTAGATTAACTGTTTTATTTACATTTAACTAAAATACCAAGAACGCCAATACCTAAAGCATTATAATATATCATATAGAGACATTATGCACAATCAATATCAGATAAACTCACACTGAACTCAATGTTAGTAATAATGTTTAGTGGGCCCAAACGAAATATAAAGGTTAGGTTTGTTTCAAAACCGTTCTGAATATTATCATGGTGACTAATCCTAACCTGATCATTTTAGCTATTTGATTAGGCAAATGTCAGTAGCGCACTGGAACTGCAGACTAAATAAGCAAATGATAATATTCACAACTTATTAAGCCAATCCTGCATTAAGTGGACAGCTACCAAAAAAGCGGTGGAATGGCGTTTCTCCGAAAAACCCTCTGAAGTTAAAGTGGCGATGCCCATTGACTCCGTTCTTGCTTTGATATCTGTGCGCGTGATGACTGGATCCCCGTGCATCATATACTTTCCGCTTGTTTGCTACCCAACAACAAAAATCATTTTACACTTCTATATCAAGCAGCTAGTATTAATCTTCATTACAATAAGAAATATTAATAGTGTTCACTGACTGTGCACATCTGTAGATATTGTGATGACTACATTATAACAACTGCTGCATTCAGAATCTATTACAATGCTAATTATGACCAAAATGGTCAATAGTCACATCATTCACAAGACATATTTCTAAATTATTGAGTAGCTGTGGTATTCAGATATTTACTGAATATTTATTAAGTCATTGAGCAATTTTGAATTGAGGATAATATATTTTAAATAGTAAATATATAAATAATTCAATAATATTATTATGGGTTTACTATATTAAATGTAAATCAATATTGTAAGCATAGGAAATTTAGAAAACTTTATTACCTGACAATAGCCATATTAAAGCCAAGATAATTGAGCAACATTGAATACTCCAGCTAAACAAACATAGAATATTGTATAATTAGGTAATTAATCAAACTCACACTCACCATCAGACAGAACTTCATAGGCTTCAGATATTTCCTTGAATCGTCTGTTAGATTCATCTGCATTATCTGGATTCTTATCAGGATGCCATTTCAATGCTAGTTTTCTGTAACTGTCATTAAAGAAATTCACATTGACACTTTGTTTATGTATGTGCCTACATTCATATTCCGATAAAAGTAGTAGAGAGTGTCTAGTGCAGGTCAGTTCTAATCAACCGATAGACATGGAAATATAGGATAGCTTATAATGATTAGCTGGTAGACAAAAATTGTAAGTACACACGGCCACACATCAAGCTTTACATAACCAGTATTAACTGAACGTTCAATGTGCGGAAAGATGATGCGACGCGACACCAGGATAAACTGGTTTTGTATAGATTGATGTGTGGCCGTGTGTACAAGCGTTGGGGTTTGTTTAACGCGGTCACAGTAGAATGTTAACTATATATCAATAGATACAACAATATCAACACATTGTTAATATAAAAATAATATTAAAGTTTAAAATTAAATTTTCCATTAATATCAGTACAAGATGAATGCCATTCATACATGGTTGTTTACTTATGAATTTTCATGAGTGCATACTCATCTTAAAGCAAATAAAAACTCATTAAAAACAAGTAGAATACTTTTTCTAATTTCCTTATTAATAAAAGCTATGTTGTTGATAATATCAGTACCCAGTTTAGCGATTCCATCCTGATAAATTTAACCAATTGAAAAAGAACTTACGCCTTTTTTATTTCTGCCTCGGAAGCGGCTCGAGTAACACCGAGTACCCTATAGTAGTCCACCATTGCTGGTCTCCCTCAAGGGATGTGAATATGTCTGAAAAGAATGTTTTTTATTAGAAATGTAAAATTAAGTACGTAGGTACTAATGTAGTCATTACTTACAACATCATGTCTGTTCATCAAGATTTTAGATATATCAACCACTCTTTGTCTTGACATTGAACATATAACTCACACTAAACTTGTAAATTAATATAATAATGATGACCCAGGCTGATGTCAACTAACTAGTCTAGAGTGGAGTTCAATCTATAAAGTATTTAGTTGGCAACAGCACTTAGAGCAGACAGAATAGGCATGGATCTTAAGGCATGTACATTTCACACACAAGACAAAAGAATTTGAGGTCTCTTTATAAAGTTAGGTACTATTTACCTACTCAATGATATTGGTGGTATATTGACAAAATCCCTTAAAAAGGTTATTTTATTGATATGTTATAGGTATATATATTATTACTACATCATCATATTCTTCAAATCTTATATTCAGATGTTGAAATGATCAATATTTTTAAATAACGATAGTATACGTGCTGACAACTTTTGACAAGTATATGAGTATAATAATTAGTGACAAGCTAACCTGTCACATATTCAACACTATGAACAATACAAAATATAGCCGCATTTGTATGAAATACGATAATCCCTATACTACGGTAAACTTTAATTTCTAATTTTGTAGAAGAGTCAATCAATTCTAAATTATCTAACCATTGAAAACAAATCAATTCATTTTATCTGCATGGTGCAGAATAATGTCCAAGTTCAGTAATCACTTACAATCCCAAAACTAAAACATCAACAATACAAACAATCTAACTTACCGTGTGGAGGGTCAAAGTGAACAATAATTTAAGTAGGAATCCAGAAAAATATGAATAGGTAAATGGCACAATTTTCAACTGATGTTACTTTTTTTTGTAAGTACCTCTAAACACAAAAAACATTCCACAATGTCATTTCATTTGAATCATTTGTCAAAAGATTGTCAGGGAAGGGAAAGGGGACCTCACTATATCACTAGGGATTGACACCTGTCAGATAGAACTTATTCTGAGATTTTAGGCTTAGTTCCACCTTAGTTCACACATTATGGCTACCGGAATTGTTTATGCGCTGTAGGGTAGTTTTTATCTTGTTTACGTATTTTGAAACTTTAGGCAGTAACGACAATAAGTACTTAAATAATTTTATTATAATTGTAGATACACTGGTAAAATAACATCCTAATATATTTATAAATTATTGTAATAAGTACGATAC